GCCCAGGAGTTGGAGGTTGCTGTGAGCTGTGATACCACAGTACTCTACCCAGGGGGACAGCTTGAGGCTCTGTCTCAAAAAAAAAAAAAAAAAAAAAGCTGACAGTTTAATGTTAATACGTTTATCCTTTACATTTTATCTAAATATCTTGAGTCAAAGTCACTGATGCATCAACCGAGTACACATGTATCTGTGAGTGGGTCTCCAGACAGAGCTGCCTTCTTGGAAGGCCTGCAGGTAGAAGCTTCCACAACCCTGCTATCAGCCCCTATGGCTTGCGGTTTGAGGGGTTTGTGTGCATGGGGATGGAGGAGAAAGACCCCCTTACCTTGAGTTTGGGAGAGTAAGGTGGGCCAGCCCCTGAATGGCCTCCATGCTTTTTCTCATGCTCTGGTTCTCGCAGCTTTATGGGAGGCAGGCCTCGGGCCTGGCCAGAACCCTTGGCAAAGTGGACATAGTGCTGGAAGTTTCGGCGACTGGGATCCTGGGAGAGGAATAGGGGAAGTTTCTTTTGGGGGGGGGGTGCTTCCCTTTTCCCTGAAGTCCCAGAAAGGTAGTGGGGGTCCAGGCTTATTTCTAGACATCATCCCCACATCCCTGTAGTTGAGCTGCACCCCCTCCACTCAAGCCAGTTCGGTATGGCTGCTCCTGCCCTGAATCACAGAGGCTACTGCCAGGGAAGCCAGGCTGAGTGGGCAGTGGCAAGCTGGTCCAGCTTCCCAGCAGGTCTGGGACAAGAGCAGGGCCTCCTGCAGAGTAGGAGCAAGCAGAGGCCCACAAATGCCTGGGCTCTGGTGTGTGTACCCCAGTATCTCCTACTTACGTGTGTGCTCTCCGTGTCATGGGCTTGCAGGGACAACACACAGTGCACACTAGTCTAGGTCCCCACGATCTCCTTGTTTGTTACCAGCCTCCAGAACACGTGGGGATGAGGGCACACACATGTGCAGCCTCCTCCCCAGGGGCGTGCAGCCTGTATTCTATCCATTTGGGAGTGGCTACCCTTCCGTGTAAGAGGCTGAGGCCACGGCCAGAAGTCTCCTCCCAGGGCAGGCCTGGTCACATTCCTTGATTCGCCTGTGGCCTGAATTACCCCACTTACTTCCTAGTTTCCCTTCCCACCCACAACTTGGGAGAGTCCCCATCTCCAAAGGCCAAATCCTCCTCCAATGAGGCAGGGGATACCCCCAGTCAGCAGAACTGTCCTCAAGGAGGAGGGGAAGCCTGAGCTGAGGCACAGACTGGAGCTCTGCTTCCACACCCCTTTCCTTGGTTCAGGATTGGAGGAGAGCCAGGCGGGTGGAGCCGGGGTGGAGCTGAGGCAGGCACCCTACACCTCCTCCCTGGGGCATAGGAACACCTGAACCTTTGCTCTTCCTCAGTCCTGACTCAGAGGGAGGTGAGAACCTGGGAGGTGCTAGCTCCAAGGTTTGGTGACCTTACCTGCAGCGCTGTGCCTCAGACCTGTCTGACAGCACCTCCTCTGCAGGCCTGGCTTCTCCTGGCTCTCTCTCTGCCTCTCCTGTCCTATCTGTCTGGGACTAGGGTGTGAGGTCCTGGGAGCCTGGCCAAGGCACTACCCTCCTCTCCCCCACAACCAAGGAAAGAAGAGTAGGGTAAGGGACAGGAAAAGAACAGCCTATGAACCTGCAAGGGCACAGAGACTCCAAAGCCTGGGTATCCTCCCTCTGCCCCACCCCACATCACCCTCAGGCACAGCCTGGACTCACAAGCACAGGACCTCCTCCTCGGTGATGGAGACTGGCAGCAGTGCTCTGAGTAGAGACTCGGTGGCCGCCCCCGTAGGTCTCAATGAGGGAGGCCACGTGTCCATGGAGGGGGCCCTCATCTGGAGGACTAAGGGCCTGCATCCCTTCTCTCCTGGGTTACCTCCAAAGAGTCATAGCTCCCTGAGGTTGCAAGAGAGAAAAAAAAATGAGAGGGACACCCTAGGTCAGTGAGTGGAACTAGGCTGGAGACAAAGGTGGGAGGGAAAGAGAAAGGTGGAAGAAGAGAGAGCCAAGGGCTTGGTCACTTACTAGTGAAGGGTGGGAGAGGCTGCCTCACCTATGACTTGGTAGGGTAGGGTAGGTCCAGGCACAGGCTGGGTGGAAAGCCCTTTGGGGATCTACCTTCTTCCTCACATGTGTGCACGTTTGGGGTACAGACTCCTACACTGGCTTTCAAACGATGCTGCAGTCCTAAGAGTAGATGGGAGCAAGGGTCAAAGACAGGTCCTTGGCCTTCTGGATACCTCCAGTTGGAAAGATTCCCCTTGTATCTAGAAATCTCCTCTCCCCTTCCTCATGCATAGACTGGGAAAAGCTGCAGGAGGGCAATGGGTGGGGAGGTCGAGTGAGGTGGCCAGAGACAGCCCAAACTGCCCATTTTTGCATGCCTGCAAACTAAAAATAATTTTTACATATAGTATTTATTTATTATTATTAATTTTTTTTTTTGCAATTTTTGGCCAGGGCCAGGTTTGAACCCACCACCTCCAGTATATGGCACCGGTGCCCTACTCCTTTGAGCCACAGGCACCACCCTTTTATTTTTATTTTTGAGACAGAGTCTCATTTTGTCACCCTGAGTAGAGTGCTCTGGTGTCATAGCTCATAGCAACCTCAAACTCTTGGGCTTAAGTGATTCTCTTGCCTCAGCCTCCCAAGCAGTTGGAACTATAGGTGCCCACCACAACACCTGGCTATTTTTAGAGACAGGGTCTCACTCTTGCTCACGCTGGTCTCCAACTCCAGAGCTCAAGCCTCAACCTCCCAGAGTGCTAGGTTTGCAGGAGTGAACCACCACACTGGGTGTACAGATGGTATTTAAATAGTTGAAACAAACCAAAAGAAAAACAGTATTTTGCGACAAGTAAGAATTATATGATATTCAAATTCAGTGTCCATAAATGAACTTTTATTGGAATATGACTTTATTGGTTTACTCATTGTCTATGTATTCTTTCCTGCTAGTTGTGACAGACTGTACAGGTCACTAAGTAGATAACATTTACTGTCTGGCCATTCACTGAAAATTCTGCGCACCCCTTGGCTGGCTCCTCCTGGCCACAGACAAGGAGGCAAGTGGCGTCAGCTACCAGGCCACTGGCCTGTAGAGATCAGCCAAGTGGACTAAGAATCTCTCCCGGCCTGTGGGAGTACCACCGTGGGGCTGGGAGCCCTTCCCCTAAACAGGAGGGAGGACCCACCCACTGAGTGGTCAGGGCCTGGAGGAGAGCGGAGGTGGGTACTAGGTGGGCCTGAGGCCCCTCCTTAGCCCTCCTCTTACTTTCTCTTTGATTTGTGAGTAGAGGAGGAAAATTGTCATTGTCTCCCCTGACCCTTCCCAATAATCGTCCCTGTTGAGGCTGGCTCTCTCGTGCTTCCCCACCCAGTGTCCTTTCTCGGCTCTGACCCAGCTTCTCTACCTCCCACCTGCGAGAAGTCGGGCTTTCCTCCGCCCCCCGCCCCAGTTCTCAGGCCTGGGTCCCCTGCCCGCGCCGCCCCCGTCCGCCCGGCCCTCCCGCCGCCACTCACCTGTGCTCGCAGGTGTCCCAGCGCCCGCTGCCCGCACTGCCGGCCCCCGCCCGCGGGGCCCCCTCGTCACCGTCTACTCCCCCGGCGATGCCCGGGTTCGGACTGGAACGCAACGGCCCGTGGGACCCGAGCAGCACTGGGCCGGGAAGGGAGGGGACAGTGGCGGCAGGGGGCGGAGACGAGGGCGGCACCGCCCCCCAACCCCGGCTCCTCTGCCTCCAGCTCCGGGGCCCAGCAGGGGGGCCCTAGTGATAGAGGAGCCCCAATGCAGCCGCCACCTCCCTGACAAGGATTCCTCACTTTGCAATGCCTTCTTCCTCTCCTCCCTCCTCACCTGAACTAACCACCCACCTGGCTGAGCCGAAAGGCTGGAACCACGCACCACCCGCGCCCTCCGCTCGCGGCCAGACCCTGCGAGGCGCCAGAGTAATGAATCCGTGTGAGAGGAGGTGGCAGAGAGCCATGACCAGGGACTTGTAGCAGGCGCCCACCTCCCTTTCTGAGCGCAGTAAATGGCCACCTGTCCCGGTCCTCCCGCTGCCTCGATGACGACCATTGATTAACCGGAAAGGGGAGCCGGCAGAGAAGCAGCTGCTAACAGAAGGGGCGTGGACCCCGGGACCCTGGGCAGCTACGTGAGCTCTCCAGCTGTGGAGTACAAAGGGTGACCCTTATCTCTTAGTGGGTCCCTCTCACTGTCATAGTAGTTGTTGGAAACCTGTCTCTGGACTTTGCCTTCTCTCCGGGGATGAGACCAGGTGCCAGGCTGAGGCTGACCAGCCATTCCTCCCATTACCTGAGACTGTGGTGGGAGAAGAGGGGTGTCAAATGAGGACACCCTCCCACTTCACTGGCAAATGAGTTTCACAGGGACCACTCAGCACCCACAGTGGCTGCTACCATAGAAACTGCAGAAGGAAGGGCACTTGCTGGGCAGTCCATGAAAGGACCACATTTTCAAAGTCCAAGTCATGCCACTTCATCCAACAGAAGAGTTGGGTGTTTGAAATCAGAAGTATCCTCAGGATGTGTGATCATCACAATCTTACAGTCATGAAGTCCAAGACCCTGTGGTGGGAATGGGGCAGGTACAAAGCCTCCGCCCCTTTGTCTGCCTGTGGTCTCCTTCTTGCCAGTGACCTTAAGTGATTGACACAACTCCTTAGATCAGCAGAGCTTCCTGGAGTTCATGAACCACTTTCAGAAGCAGAATCTCCAGGGGTTGCCAGGTCCCTCTCCTGTCTAGCATATTAAACACAAATGATCTGCATATTCTAGTCTTTGCTGTGACTCTGATGACTCTATTATGTTTGGGAGAGAACTATTTATCACTTGGTATTGTCTAATTTTGCACTCCCTGTCCCCATCTTCAAATTTGCCCTCCAGTGTTCTTTTTTTCTGAGCTTGCTGTTGTGTGATTGCTCTGTTGGTTCCAAAGAATCCTCTGTATCTCTGTTCCTGGATCATCCTACCTCCTGGATCCTGCCTCCCACTGGTGGTGGGACCAGATTTAAAGGGAGAATTCGGGGGTGGGACAGGAACTGCAGTGGCAAGAAACTATAGTGTTTTCTTTATCCCTCACCCTTTCCTCTTCCCGTTCACTGTGTGTGTGTATTTATGTTGTGAGCTAGATAGACAGACAGAGAGAGAAATCCAGGGATGATAAGAGTAACCACGAGGAAGAGTTAATAAACCAGGAGGTGGTGATTACTGGCAGTATTAAATAACACCCTAGAGACAGCTGGTGCCAAAGGCCCCTAGCTTTTCCTCTCAGTGTCTCCCAGGAGGTAGAAGGAGGAGTAAGAGGGAAATCCAAATTGGGAGAGCACCAAAGACAAGCCCTGACTTACAGCACTCTGGGGTGAGCTGGCTAGACAGGGCCAGTGGACCCCAGAGAGATAACCCTTTCACTTCCCTTAAGGCTGAGGTCTAATCTCTGCCTGCCACTGCCCCCAGGGCCTGTCTTCAGCCTGCTTGGGAGGAGAGGTTCCCAGGGAAAGCTGGAGTCTAGAAGCCAGAGGTGTGGCCAAGTCCAGGTGTGGGCTGGGAGGCGGGACACCTGTGTTTTTTGTGTGCTCTATTCTGGCCTTGTCTGATCGCTGGTCTCACAACTTCTCTCTGCACAGCCCCTTCTATGCTGTGGTGAGCAGACTCCCCTGGCAGGCAGCAGGCCCAGGGAGCTGAGTGAATTCTAAAGAGTTAATAAGTTGGATGTGTGGCCTCTACGGAGTGAGGCTGGGGACACCTGGATACTTATCTTTCTTCCTGGTTGCCCTGCACCTTCCTCACATCTCTAGTTTGAGTCATACCCCTCCTCCATGCTAGATACACAATGTTAGGACCCCAGTTTGACCCAAGAACTGATGAGAAAGTATCTGTCTGTCCAGGGTCCTCCAGCAAAGGATCAAAAGCTTCCGTTGGAGAGCAGCCTCAGGGTAGCTTTCTGGGTTTGGCACAGGGGACTCACTGGACAGGAAAGTCAGGGAGACTCCCTGGAGTCCTGAGCTCTTCCCAGCCTGTACCCAGGCAGGGGCGTGGACCATCTAGGCTAAGGAAATGCTGGCAGGCATGAGCAATCGGAGGCCGCTAGTAGGGGCTTATGTCCTCCTTACCCCCAGTGGGGAGAGAACTGAGGCCTTGAGCTGGAAGGTGCCAGGTCATGTGAGGCAGATAAATACCAGGAAGCCAGGCTACCAGGCCCAGCTTCTTATGCCCTAGACTGGGACTGGCGCCCCCTCCTTTCCTTCCTTTCTTCTTTCTTCCCTTCCCTTCCCTTTTTCTTCCTTCCTTCCTTCCTTCCTTCCTTCCACATTTATTGGCAGTGCTCACTCATACATGGTACTAGGAATATAGAAATGAGTAAGAGACATTTCCTGACCTGGGCAATAGAGCAAGACCCCCTCTCTATAAAAATAAAAATTAAAAATTACTGATGGGGTATAATGTACACTATTTGGGTGATGGGTACACTACAAGCCCAAACATCAGCATTATACAATATATACATGTAACAGGATTCAATTGTATCCCCTAAATTTGTTAAATATTTTAAAAAAGGAAACAAATTAGTCTGGTGTGGAGGTGTACACCTGTAGTCCAGGCTACTCAGGAGGGTGAGCCAGGAGTCGGAGGTTGCAGTGAGCTATGATTGCATCACTGTACTCCAGCCTGAGCAAAAAGTCCTCAAAAAAATAAATAAATAAATAAAAGGCTGTGTGTGGTAGCTCACTCTGCAATCCTTTTTTTTTTTTTTTAAGAGACAGAGTTTCACTTTGTCACCTTCGGTGGAGTGCCATGGCATCACACAGCTCACAGCAAACTCCAACTCCTGGGCTTAGGCAATTCTCCTGCCTCAGCCTCCTGAGTAGCTAGGGCTACAGGCACCCACCACAACGCCCAGCTATTTTTTGTTGCAGTTTGGCTGGGGCCGGGTTTGAACCTGCCAACCTCGGTATATGGGTCTGGTGCCCTACTCACAGGTGCCGCTTCTTACTCTGTAATCCAGTACTCTGGGAGGCCAAGACAGTAGAATCCCTTGAGCTCAGGAGTTCAAGACCAGCAGTGAGCAAGAGTGAGACACTGTCTCTACTAAAAATAGAAAAAAAGTAGCCAGGCATTGTGGCGGGCTCCTATAGTCCCAGCAATTTGGGAGGCTGAAGCAGGCGGATTGCTTGAGCCCAGGAATCTGAGATTGCTATTAGCTAGGCCAATGCCACAGCACTGTAATCTGACCAACAGAGTGAGGTTCTGTCTCAAAACAAAAAAGAAATTGAGGAAAGGCAGGCTTTCCTAAAGGCCTCCTGAGAGTCTGCCCTGAAGGCTCCAATGGGGACATTCTGCCCTTCAACGAGATAGTCTCTGGGTGGTGGCTTAGGTGGGCAAATCCCCTTCCTGGTCCTTGAAGACCTCCACAATTAGACTCCAATTATATTTCCTGCCTTTCATCTGCTGACTACTTCCCTCCCTGCTTCTAACTGCCCTGGCCACTGTGCTTCCTTAAAAGGCACTGCTCTTATTCCGCCTGAGTTTGCTGATATTTGCACATCCACCCATGCCCTTCACTAGTCCACAAGGGCAGGAACCAGTCCCTGGCACAGGCCTGGCATCAGTGTTTGAGGATTGAACTGAACTGATTTGTGAGGGGACCAGATGGAATCAACTTGCAGGCAGATAGATTTGTCGGCATGGTCCTCTCACCTCCCCTGTCCAAAGGAACCACCTTTGTGTTTTAGATACCCGGATTTTCCCATGACTTCAGTTTGACATTCCTCATTCATTACTGCAGCGTCTGCATTTCCTTTATGCTCCCTCACAGTGGTTCTCAACCTTCCTAATGCTGCAATGTATTTTCATTGTTACAAAGGGGTCGCGACCCACACAGGTTGAGAACCACTCCAAGTTTCCTCACCCCTTGAGTCATATCCCTCCTCCATGCCTCAGTTTCTCCCCCAGTGCAAGACACTTCTTGTCAGGCCCCAGTTTGACCCCAAAGCTGATGAGAAGGGTCTGTCTGACCTGGATCCTCCCGTAGGAGATCAAACACTTCCACTGGAGAGCAGCCTGAGGGCAGCTTTCTGGGGTTGGCATACCAAACACGCCTCATAAATTTACCTCATGGGCCCATTTTGCCACATAGGTGGTGTTTTC